TGACCAGCTCGGATCCATAAAAAATGCAAAACAGACATCGAACGTATATCTCAAAATGCACACAAAGCAAAAATCAAGCGCAAACACGTAAAGGCAAAGAAAAATATGCGTATGCAAGCAAAGTTCCCAGAATTCAACACTTGAATCCAAAACAGAAAATTAAACTAGGCTATTACAAAATTAGGCCTACACAGAGGCATTCTCACTAGAGCTATCCTCAACGTCGTCCTCCTTGACCAGCTTCCCAAAGCGAACGACCTTCTCCACGTACATGCCGGAGAAGTCAAACCCTAGCGCAAGGAGCCTGGCCTGGCGGGCAGCCATGAGAAAACCCCTCTTATGCTCCACCACGATGGAGCGCTCGACCTCCTCAAGTCTCCTCTCCAACGCCCCTTTCTCGGCCTCCAGCGACGAAAGGTCTACCCTCTGGGCAGCAATCTCCTCCTCTTTGCTGCCAATAATGACCTCATCACGGAGCCGCTCCTCGGTTACCGACACTAGTTCGCTCTTCAAAAATGTGACTTCACCTTCCAAAGAGCGAACCTGCTCCCGAGAAGACATCACCTCGCCTCGGGACGAGGTAACAAGCCCCTGCAGTTCACTCACCCGAGAAGCATAGTCTTCGTTGGAACGCACGGCGATCTCCAATGACTTCTAGGCCCTGGCGAGGCCCCCCCTCGCCGCCTGGAGCTCAGCCCCCTGCATCTTCTCTTCGCCGAGGGCGGCAGTCAGAACCCCGTTCTCCTCCTTCAGGACTTTATTTTCATCCTTCAGAGGCCGAACAACGCTCCTCAGCTTCGCCATGTCCTCTTGCTGCCTCGACCACTTGTGTTTCCAGTAATCCACAATGGTCGTGCTTCTCTGCAAGAAGATCTGGGCGGCCTCGAAACTCCCCATCGGACCGGCCGACTCGATCATCGCCTGATCAGCCGTGCTCAGCGACCCCTTTGGGAAAAACTTCTCCGGGGTCACCACGGCGCTCCAAGAGAGTCGACCTCCTCCGACGCACTCAAATGCTCTAACCGCATGGGCGCGCCCTCTTGCGCATAGCGGTACGCAAGATACAGTCGCTTCGGCTTCGGCACTGAACCGGAAGAAGGGAGCCCGGAGCTCGATCCCTCCCTACGAGCCCCGGCGGAAGTAGACGCAGGCACCCCCTGCGCAACCACGGAAGGATTCCCTTCCGACGCCCTGGAACTCGGGAGAACCGAAACCCCGGTGTCGTTCCCAGCCTGCAAGAAACGAGGATACTCTTCTGAGAACAAAAAGTAAACAGAAGGGTAAAACATCGACATCACAGAAGGCCCAACCGCTTACCTCGCCAACCGGGGTAATAGGTACAACACCCCGGACTACCTCCTCAGCAGCCGAGGTGGCCCGCCCGGCAGCAAGGACCGCTTCCTCGGCGACATCCCCTGCCTATAGAAAACAACCTCAAGTCAAAATCGAGAAAAACAACGAACAATGAAGAAAATAGAAACGAGACTAAGAAAAGAAAAGTACTCACCACGACGGCCCGGACAACTCGCTCAGCAGCTCGGGCCAGCACCTCGTCGGGCTGAGCGACAGGCCCAGTAGCCGACGCCACCTCTTCGGTGGCCACACGAACGCCCCCGTCCGACGGCGGACTTCCAGCAAGGTCCACCACGCCGGCTTCAGCAACCTCGGAGGCAACCTCCCCTATTCCACGAGGGGCAGAGGTCCCCCCAACCTCTCTCCCGCCCCTCTTTCTTTTTCGGTTCACCTTCAGGGGGGAAACCTCCTCCTCTGGAGGCTCGGAGACCTCGAGCTCGGTCACGTTGAAGCAGTGCTTCAGATCAAGCCACAAATCCTCCCCTATAATGCCTACGGACAAAAAATAGGGCACATCAGCAAAGAGGAATTACACGAATCTCAACAAACTACCAAAACATAAGATACTCACCCCCGAGGCCCCTCTCCCTATGCGCCGAATTCGCCAGTGACAATATCGACTTGCAGTCCAACGGGCGAGGAAGTGCCTTAAGATTCCCAATGGCGGCAGCCTCCGAGGCCGTCAATTGCGAAGGATCCACCCCGTGGAACCTAGACGGTTTGGGACACCAGTAAAAATGGAACTTCGGCAATCCGCCGAAGTAGAAGCCCCCATCCCCTAAAGGGTCAACATCCACGAGGGCAACCCGGAAGAACTCGGTTTTGAAGTTTTTATAAGACTGGGAGTAAGGAGTGAATAAACCCCCCTCTTTACTCACGTTCAAAGAAAGAATGCCATAAGGCAGAACACCCAACTTTAGCTGATAAAAGTGAAGGAAAACACGGAGGGACAACCCTATCCTTAGGACCGCACACAGGACTTGAAACGCCCTCAAAAAACCCCAACTATTGGGGTGTAGCTGGCAAGGTGTCGCGTTGATGTAGTTCAAGAAATCACACTCAAATTGAGTGAAAGGAAGAAAGACGCCCAGGTCCCTGAAGAAACACTGATAGACATATAAATGAGGAGGGTCGGTAGACCTCCCCATATACACACCCTCACTGGCTATTAAATGTGAATTTTGAAAATCCAACCGTTAGATTGAAAGTTCATATCTCTTAGATCATATATGTCAAATTTTGTTAAAATTGAACAATAACTTGAAGGTAATCAAAGTGTTCATATTTTAGTATATTTTGAAATGTATATATTACGTCAATTTTGTTTTATGAGAATGAAGTATCAAATCATCTTAGATTAATATAAATTTTGACATATATGATCTAAGATATATGAACTTTCAATCTAAGAGATATATATGGTACTTGGAGGACAGTGGGTGGGCTAACTCCACATGTGGATTGGTGAAGCTAGCCAAGGCCGTGGTAGGCTCATACCCAAACCCTTCTGTCCTGACAGTAGTACTGGACCTCCGAGTCTAAGTGGCACACCTGAGAAATCAACTATTATTGTCTATACCTGGTTCTCTTCGGAGTTCCTAAAGCTGTTCTATACCTGACCTGGTTGAGATAGGTCAAACGCTGGATTCGGTAGGGTTTATGCCACCTAGACTGCTCAACTTTAGTTGTTGGAGATCTCCCCATTGTATATGCGTAACAATGTGTTTAAATATTAGGTTGTATATTGTTGTTGTTTTAAAGCTGCTTCTAAGTTGTATGAATGAGTTGTATTTTTATGTTGAATAGTATGGTCATTTGTGATGATGATTGGATGAATGATTAGTATAGTGTTTCCTATACTTGTATGGTTGTTTATCGAAATTCTAGCTTACCTTTTTGTTTCCATGTGGATGAACTACTATGATCATACGGTGTATGGGAGCAGATCAGGATTAGGTTGGAGTTGTTCCCTGAGTTTGCTGCTAGGAGTGGATTTTTTTGGTACCTAGTGTCAGAGTTACCACCTTGGGTAACAATTTTGTGCTTGACCGGCACTAGGAGATAGTGGTTTTGGATAACTGTATAAATACTAATACTTAAAAACTTTATTGTCTATATATGTATATAATTGTTCATGTTTTGTATTTATGAGTTATCCAATTTTATTATTTATCTTAACTTAAAAAAAATTTAGTGCGATTCCATTAAGTGTAGAGACCATGGTGGGTCGTTACACAAAATATACTAAAATATGAACACTTTGATTACCTTCAAGTTATTGTTCAATTTTAACAAAATTTGACATATATGATCTAAGAGATATGAACTTTCAATCTAACGGTTGGATTTTCAAAATTCACATTTAATATAAAGTTATTGAGCGGTGTAACACTTAGTAAATGTTACACCGGTGTCGTTTGAACCCTCCTTATATATCTATAGAGAGAGAGGAGGGTTCAAATGATACCGGTGTAATTTTTACTAAGTGTTACACCGCTCAATAACTTTATATTAAATGTGAATTTTGTAAATCCAACTGTTAGATTGAAAATTCATATCACTTTATATGTGTATATCAAATTTAGTTAAAATTGAACAACAACTTGAGGGTAATCAAAGTGTTCATATTTTAGTATATTTTGTGTAACGACCCACCATGGTCTCTACACTTAATGGAATCGCACTAAATTTTAACGCGCCACTTGCACGTTTTCGGAAAATGAACAGTTGCAACACATGGCATCTCAACAAGCAGAAGTACGCGAAAGGTCACTTCCCCCAACGAGCTCGGTCTTAACTCCTCAACCTACGGACTTCGGAGCTCGGGGGCCTAGTGTACTGTCCATACCGCGAAGCCGAGCTCCGAGCTCGGCATCACAGCACAAAATGAGGTCGGGCACGCGCTACGCGACGTCAGCTCGGCATTTAAGCAGATCATAACCGATCTCGAGGGATCTCGCTTCAGATGGGATCCGCCATTTAATCCTATCTTATCTTATCTCAGGCCCAAGGCCCAAAGCAACCCTAATTCACACTAAGGTACGTGCATTACTTATACGAGATTCATACTCCCACAAACACTAACTTTAGCATCAGAGTCTCTTTTGCAAGTACCACCGCCATCTTGGAGCACCAGCGTACCAGTGAAGGAGGCTCACCGATCTTACCTGGCGGATCAGCTCTACAGCAGATTTCTAGTAAGAACAACCCTTATTTTATAATATCAAGTTAATTTTTCCCTCTTAAAAAACATTTTTGTAGTATAAGAAACAGAAAAGTAGAAAGAAAAAAAAATGTAATAAATAAAATGATAATTTTTTTTAATAAAATCGATTTAGTAATGAAATATTTAAATAGTTTGCACAATATTTTAATTTTTTATATAAATGCTAACATGTCTCATTTATAATTAAGATCAGCATCGAGCAACCTTATCTCATGAATATTTAAATAATTTTCACCAATCAAATATTTTTTTAAGCTACAATCAATTTTTAAAATAATTTTCCGTCCAACGTTTTTGTTTGTTTGTTTGTCCTTTTTTTTTTAAGAAAGAAAAATGCGTGTTATTGAATCTTGGGTCGGTTTTGTGTTTGGGTTGCGTGAGGCCCAACCCAATAGTATTTCAACCCGACTTTCATTTCGGAGCTCGTCGTATTGAAAAGCACGAACCGTACCTCGCTCTTCTTCGTCTTCTTCCTTCGATCTCTCCCTTTCGATCCTCCATTTCCTTTTAATTATCATTCCTAATTCTTCAATCCACTCTCTATTTCGTTTAATTCCCCTTATCTTCTTCCGTTTGATTCCAAAATCGTTCCCTTTTCTTACTCATCATCGTGGTCTAGGGTTAGGGTTTCGATTCGGTCTTTCGAGTTCGTAGATCGTCGTATTTCCTTCTGTATTCCCCAAAACTCCTGGTTTTGGTTCTTATTCCCTTCATATTTCGTCCCAATTCGACATAATATCTGTACGCGTTTACGAGTTTAGGGTTTCGGACAGGTCGACTTTTAGGGCTTTTTGATTTTTGAATTTCTGGTGGGTTTTTCTGTAAATTACTTTAGGGGATTGATTCCTACCCATACCTGACGAAATTCTAGCGCTCGTTTGGTTGTTAATTTAAACATTTCTGCGCTGAGTCAAGAATCTAGGGTTAGGGTTTGAAATACAATTTTGTATTATTCTAATTGGTGGAATTCAATTGGGGATACGCTCTCTGGCGTCGAGGGACAACCTTTGCTGTGTGATTCTTTGTCCAATTCTCTTCAATTAGGCCTTTGTTTTTCGTTTGGCCCTAAACTGTTGTCCTAAAGGTGCTGACGGGTTGTCTGAAGTTTGAATTTGAAAATTAGGTGAGAATGATACTTGTAATTCCTGCTTTATTATCTGTTTTGTATTGTTTTAATGTTATTTGAGTTTATCATTGTGTTTGATGCCATGGGTTTAAAGCTCAATTGTTTTCATTTAGTTTCCTCATAAGTTTATTTTTGATATGATGTGCCTTTGATGTGGTAGTGAGATGTACGCTATAATGCTATTAGCATGATATTTTGTTCTGCAAATGTGGTATGATATGGCTGGCAGCTTCGAGAAGCATAATACTGATTTTTAATGCTATGAATGTGACTGGTGATTTTCATCAAACGTTTTATTTTAGTAATATACTTGAAAGTCTCTAGAGGTTATCCATTGTAAATATTTAAAAAAGAAAGGCATATCAAGCTTGGTACATGTAACAGCTGGTAACAATAATGGAAATTCTAGCTCCTTATTGATATCAACTTTAGTTATTGTTTATTTCTAAATTGAAAGTGTTTTTTATTTTATGATGAACATATTTGTAGAGTGTTGATGTTTTATTTTTCACAAATCTAATGTTAACAATTATGATTTATCTCTTTCTTTCCATGCAAACATATATAATCAGCACTAAGACAAACAACTGCCTGAGAGTACATAGTCATTTTCACCAAATGCCTACATAATTTTATTTATGTGGTAAATTGTTTTGCATTATTAATTCTTTTATTGCATTACAGAATCAGAATGGGGTATAAGAGAGGTTTTGAGGCTAATGAATATGAGGATCTTTCTTTGAACAAGGCAAAACGTTTTGAATGCAGCAATGAACTGGTTTCATTTGCTGATATTGTTACACCCAACAAGGCTTTTGAAAAGAATATTATTACAGGTATTTTTTTAATTTATAATATATTATAGTGTTTTCATATTTGTTAAACATAGTTTTGATTGTCATTGGCCTGGTTGAAAATTTTGTCTGATGATTGAATTAAAGAATATTCTGAATTTTGTACATAGGTGATGATGAAGATGGCTTTTACAATATTCAATGGTACGATCCACTTGAAACAGACACTGCTAAGGAATCTCTTTATATGGGTGACAAGAATGTTCAAACCAGTGGTCACTTCAGCTGTTATAGTGAAGAAGATACTGGTTCTGGGGCTACATCATTATCATCTGCTTCCTCAGGTTGTTCGGAACTTGAAATTCCACAGAAAGCATTTGTTCCTTTGGATGATGACGATTTGGCCTTTGATTGCTCACCTAGAAAAGCAGTTCCCATTGGACCAAATCATCAAGCCAACATTCCTATTTGGAGAGGTAAAGTGGATAATAAAATGTCAGAGTTAGGCATATATAATCATGACAGTCCCTCTTCTGGCTTAGTATCAGCTCATACTGTTGATGAAGATGAAGAGAGACTCATGGGGACTACTGTGCTCTCAATGCATGAATCTAGCTTTTATTCTTCTATTAGTAATGAGAGTGGACAAGGCAGGACAGAGTGTAACTGCATTGATCGTGGCTCCATCAGATGTGTTAGACAGCATGTTAGGGAAGCGCGTGAAATGTTAAGGGAGACTCTTGGGGACGAAAGATTTGTGAACTTGGGCTTTGGTGATATGGGAGAATATGTTTCACAGCAATGGACTGAAGAAGAAGAAGACATGTTCCATGAAGTTGTCTACAGCAATCCTGCATCTTTGGGTAGAAACTTTTGGAAGCATTTAGCAGCCACTTTCCAATCTCGAACTAATAAGGAAATTGTCAGCTACTATTTTAATGTTTTTATGCTGCGGAGGAGGGCTGCTCAGAACAGGTCCAGATTTTTGGATATTGATAGTGATGATGATGAATGCCATACGAGAAATGCTGGGATTTTTGGTTTTGAAAATTCCGATGATTCTGCCATTGAATCTCTTGGTGATCAAGATGGCCGTGTAGAAAACCAAGATAATTATTCTGATGAAGATGATGAAGATGATAACAGTGACGATGGGACTGAAGATAATGTTCTTGGTTTTACTGGATGTGATGTGGGAAACAGCTCTGAGATAGAGGGTGAGATTGTTCAAAGTTCATCAAATTGGAAGTTGAACTCACAAATTGAGACTTGGAGAAATCCTGATGAGCATGTTAATGGTACTTCAGGGATTCTGAACTACAATATGGATGACTCCTGTATGTCCTTTGAGTGTGATGCCAATATGGATGTGTCTTGCCATTCTCATGGATTGGGAGATGCTAGTCCTGGTTTGCATGCTAGGGGATTTAAATGTGATCAGAGTCCACGCATGCAGGGAAAACTTGATTTGTCCAGCAATGCGATGGAGCATGTTTATCTGATGGAGCCCTGTGTTACTAAAGATTGGTATCCTGGGTACTCAACATGTCCGACTTCGACTACAGATTTAGACTTCTTACCTACGTCCAATTTGATTGAAGAGTTTTTCGGTCATGGTACTCTTGATAAAAAGACCAGAAGTGACTGAGGTGTTAGCTAGTCTTGTAGTTTTTATGGCACCAGCACGACAGTTTTAAGTTACTTGAGGATGCCAAGCTAGGAAGAGCTACCTAATGGTGGTGGTGGTGGTTAGGTGTAAAATACAATATCCAAGGTTGGAAGGAAAGCCTTCTATTCTTTATTTCTTTGTTTTATTATTTCCTTTTATGCCAGAGAGGAGAGGGTGAGGGTGGAGGTACTTTTGTTGTTAATTTGTATATATACTTCGTATGGACCTCACCGTATCCAAAAAAAAAGAAAAATTGGGTTCTCCCTGTTACTGTTGTTCATTTTACTACCCCAGAATTTGTATGATATAATGTAAAAGGCCAGTTTGAATTTGAAAATAATATCGTATTCTCTCATATTTCTTGTCCTACAGTTATTAATTGCGATAATTACTAATTTGTGAACAAAATTGTTATTTTAAGGTTGTGCACCTAATCTTCTTGTGCACTGTAGCTGATGTATGGCAATTCAATTTGTTACTACACTTGTTACAATCGGATCATGATTCTATGCAGTTCTATAAACTGCCTGAGTTTGAACCGTCCAAAATATTTTTTGTCAAATAGTTATAATATAGAAAAATCTAAACACTATAAGCATCCAGACAAACATGTACCTTCTTAGTTCTTACCCCATTTTGATCAATTAGATATCATTGAAAACAGTCAAATAAATAACCAAAGAACATACGTCAACAAATGATGGTAATGGATCATGATCACCTGTAGTTCTAGAAAAAAGACTGCGTGTTCCTACAGTTGTATCCAACAGATGCTTTAGTGTTTAAGTTTTTTATTATAATTATATGACAAAAGATATTTTGGATGATTCAGTTTTATGCAGTTGTTCATAGAACTGACCTTTAATTGTTGTGTAATGGTCGATAAAAGGTTAAGATGTAAACTTACATGTAAACTCATGAAGCTTTTATAGCTTTCACTTGTAGAATTGACTTATAAATTCGTAAGAGCTTGCCTATATGTAAAAAATAATATTAAAAATAATATTAAATTCAAAGGTGCTTTTGTGCATAAGATAGTAAACAACAATATATAATTCAATATTTCTACTTTATAATAAATCCAAATAGTAAACAATAATAATAAAATGTGATTTCTCATTAGTGCTAAATAAGATCAAACTACATAAATGATCAAAACATATATAAAATCATAAAATATAAGTTTCTGAAGTGAAAACATGTTTTTTCTTCAAATCCTTTTATTTCGAGTAGAACACCGTCATTGTGGAGTCAATGAGAGGAAAAAAAAAATTATTTCAAACTTATTAACTACCTTCTTGGCCAAAGAATTTTTGCGAATTTTGTATGAATTTAAAAAGTTTTACTGAGCTCATAAAAAATGAGTTTGACTGACAGTGAGTTAACTCATAAACTTTTATGAATTAACTCGAAAATTTTGATAAACTTGGCAAGATGTTTTGAAAAAAGAGAATTTAGATTCGATCTAACATGAGATTTGTGGTTGACTTCTTAATTACATTTAACTTTTATAAATAATTATATTATAATTAATTTCATAAAATTAAATTTTGATTTAGAAGCGGATGTGCTAGCTGTTTCAAGGCTGATCTCTTTCGATACTAAAATTTACTACCGATTCATTTATGTAATGATTAAATTAGAGCAAAGTCGAAGGAAAACAAAGGTAGAAATATATAATAGAAGAAAAAGAGAAACAAGTAAAAAAGATTTGTTGTTTGATTACACAAAAAATAAAAACTAAAAAAAGGAGGATTTTCCCTTAATTTATTTGAATGATTTAAAGAGTGGATGAGAATAAATAAAATGTTATAAAATATATATATATATATATATATATATTAATTTAACAAAAATATAAACTCTTACTATTTTTCTTATGTTTTTATACCATAAAAATATTTAATTTTTAAAGCAAGTAAAAAAAAATAATGCAACAATAATATTCACCTATTTTCACAAAAGATTTGGAGGACTTGTTTATAAAAAGACATGATAATTACTAAAATTAAAGATAATAAGTCAACTATTGTCATTATCATGTGGAAGTCATAATAATTTTTTTTTTTTGTGAAATGGGAGGGTTAAAGTCCAAATAAATTATTTAAAATCACAAGAGAAAAGTACAGCAGACTTATCTTGCAAACAAAAAAAAATGAGTCCAAATAAGAGACATGAAAGATTTTAATATCAGTCATCATTATAACTACTATTAATATAATTATCAATTTTCTAAAATCAACTTAAAACAATTCTAAAATCAATTTTTATTGATTCCAGCCATTTTTATAACAAATTCAGTTTTAAATTTGTTTTTAAACTATACAAGAGGTTTAAACTTAAAAAAATTTGTTTGAAGTAAAAATCTTGTTTTAAAAGATTTGTTTTTTTTAAAAAAAGTTTTTTTGTTTGATTGTTGATGTTAAACTATTTTAAAATTAAATAAGATCTCGAATTCAAATTTTGTGTATAAAAAATATGATTGAGTGGGAAAACCTCACCAAAAGTAAGTTAATTAGATTAGTGGATGGAGATTAGTAATGATACATAATTTAAAAAAATATTTTTAAATCAATTTTATAACCATTTTAAACTATAATTGGTCCAAACCTTTGTTAGTACTCAGTTTTATCCAAATATTATCAGATTTCACATACATAGAACATAAAATGAAACAACTTCAGGGAGGAGCCACAATTACGATAAATTTAGACACTGTTCAAGCATCACTACACAAATTTTGGGGAAAAAAATTTTAAATCTGCAAAATAATCTCACGCTATTCTTTGGTGTAAGCGAGGGGTAAGCATGCTTTGGATTTTGAAAAGGCCAAACCATACCTCATGGACTCTTAATATAGTTTGAATTAAAAATTCAATCTTAATTAAAAAAGCTTGTTTGATTTTTTAATACTGATTTTAAAGTTGATTTATGCTTTAAAATCAGTTAGAAACCAATTTATGGCTCAATATCATTTGTGATTTAAAACCGGTTTAAAACTGGTTTGATTTTTGAAGATGATTTTAAACCATAAATCAATTTTAAAAACATTTTTTAAAACTGAGTTTTATTCAATTTTTGAATTATAAATTGGTTTGACATTAAACCCTAAACCCATTTCAAAACCGATTTTAAACCTCAATTAATTTTGATACTTGTTTTAAATTGATTTTTCATTTAAAATCACTTTTCCAAACATTATTCTCTAAAATAGTTTTAAATATTATTTAGAAAAGAAAAAGAGTGAAAAATGTGCTGCATTAATTTTATTTTATAAAATCTAGTTTGAAAGATGTTTTTCAAATAATGCATAACATTGAAAAACTCAAAACATACACAAATACATATAGGTAATTAATAATGAATGTCGATTATCACTAACTAACTAATATCTACACTCTTATAATACATACTTAATCAAATCATTTTTTAAAATTTTCATACTTTAAATTTGAGAATTTTTAATTTGGACTTAAACACATGTGGTAAAATCAACTTGTTACCGAAATTTGTAAGTGCTTCCACAACAGGAGTAATGTTCTAATTGCTCCAATATCCATGGTGGTAGAGACACTTGCAAAGACAGTTCAACGCTCAAATTAGAGGGAGTCTAGGTTTAAAATTAAGTTAGGTTATAATGATACTTGATGATCCATATATGTATGTTTGCCATATTGCATTATTTTAGGAGATGATCTTGTGTGGTAGTTATTATGCACTCTCATGTTCATGGAGATATTATTTTTGTTACTCTTTAATGTATTCCAAAATTTTTGGAGATACAGTGACGACGTTATCACTTGGTTTTTGCCTAAGTTATAATTCTGAGCTTGTCATGAGCATGTCTAGTTGTGAGGTCGACTTAGTGTGTTTGAACAATGTGATATAGATTGGCTCGGGAAGTTCATGCTAGACGATACATAAGCCCTCCCAATTCTGAGCTACACGGGAGGGAAAAAACTATGTATTTGCGTGGCGCCCATGAATGTGGAGCGAGTAGGTTGTGGAAACCATGGTGTATAGGTCACGACTTTGATTATTTCCCACGTGCTTTAATGAGTAATCATTAGTGTTGTCATGTACAAATTTGGTTGCTCATTGTTTGTTGATTTTGAACGTAGACCATTGATATAGGGAGAAAAGTTTTCCGTGGTTAGTGTTGTGCGAGAGTTATTGGGAGGGACTTTTTAATTCTCATTGGTGCTCCTTCGTGTTATTTGTGCATGCTTGGCGAGGTTGTCTACATGAGTCAGTTTTGTTGGTGTCGGTTCAGGTACTTTCCTTCTTCTTCATTACATTTTAGCTTTTTGATTTGTGTTGTGTTTGAGTGTGTGTGAATGGGAAGGAGGCGGTTGGTATTATCTTCTGAAGATAGCAACTTGTTTGACGCAACAATGAAGCTACCTGGTGATGTAGCTGCCACCCATGAGGGGAACATTGGGGTGGATGGTGCAAGGGCGGTGACCACCGGTGTGGTGCTATAGGTGGTGATAATAGAGCCTATTTCAATTAGGGTTGAAGAGGTGACAAAGTTGCAATCAGAGGGAATAAGCGATGATAAGGGTAAAGGCCTTTTGGATAGAGAGGGTTACAAATGGGTGAGAGCAAGGTAGATTCGTACAAGAGTCGGTTGGATATGAAGGAGGCGATGGTGTCTTTACTTGATAGGTGTGTGTTGTCTACTTTATGTGATTCGTACTTATTCATGGTACGACCTTACACCGAGGGTGACTGAGTATACTTAGGTGAGGAAATGTACTTCTAGACATTCATGTATATGTACCATTATGTGTTGTAAGATATTGGGGTTACACTACCATTTAGTGAATTTGAATGTTTTTTTAGGCAAGCGAACGTTGCACCAAGCCAACTTCATCCCAATAGTTGGACATTTTTTTTGGGATTCCAAGTGTTGTGCACATATGTTGGAGTGGAGTCAACCTTGTCAAAGTTCATGTACTATTATTTACTAAAAATGGGACCATTGATAGGCTAGATGTCATTGAATGGGTGGACTAGAAGGGGTTTGTTTAGTTTATTTTTGGAGTCGTTCAAGGGTTTTAATAGCAAATTTGTCCAAAGAGAAGCTATTGTGGGTCATGATAGGGGGAACGCCGTGTTTCATAACCCTGATGGAATGGGTAAGTTTCCTTGGTTCTAGACGAAGAATCCTTATAGGTCCAATGGTTAAAAGAAATTAGGGATTTCAAAATTTGAGGTTAATGAATGTTTGGAATTAGTGAAGTTGCCTCGCCCATTGGATGTGAAGGTTGTATTTATATTTCCAAGTGTTGCCAATTTAGATGGTGTTGCAGGGTGTGTGGTTATGCCACGTGTTGTAACTAGTTTTTGTTT